AAGATAAATTGCTTAGAATTGCTTCGAATCGCGATGTGTGCGCATGACGCGTATGGCATAATCGACCGGTGCTTGCGGTTGCAGTTGCAAGCACGAGCAATGCAAAAAAATCCGGGCAGGTCCTGCGCTAAGGGCTTAATATTAAGCTATTAGTAGTTTTTGCGTTTCAGTGGGAATTACAAATAGATAGTGATTATGGCACGACTGTAGCGCTTGCAGGCTTGTTCCGTGTGGCCTCCATGGTCATCCTTTGCAGGGAGCGAAAAAAGAAATATTTGTTTCCAGAAATTGTGATTTGAAGAGGGATATTTTCTATGCCATATATTAATCATATACATAATAACAGGACAATCAAAGTGGAGATTAACGGTAGAAGAAACGCGGATTAGTTTGATAACAGGCGAACTGGACGCGCGAGGACGAGCAGGGAACTAGAAGAAGAAAAAGAACTAAGGGGTTAGTAGGACCCTAAGCAGGGTCGTAGCTAGCGGGGCAGGGATGACAAGGGGACAATTCCTCCCATCAAGAGATAAGTAATACATTAGCGTAGTCATGGGCGTCACGTTCCCAGAGCACAAGCAACCGCAACTGGTTTTTTGCCCGAAACTCCAGAATAAAATGCGTTTAGCTACGCACCTGAAAATGTTGAGGGAGAGAGAGGAAAGGGGTTAAACGAACGGACGGGCGAAAGGACTTATAAGATAATGAACGAGGTGGCAGGTGCAAGAGATGCAGAAGGTCAGTTTATAAAGTGTAGATTTTTCTCAATTCCCTATACCGGTATTTCTCTTTGATCTCCGCATACGCACTAGATCTGGATAATAGCTCGTTTTCTGTTAAAGCTCATCATCTATTTAAGTTAAACATTGAGAGGAGATATTTACGAGTAGTTTTATATATAACGAAAATATTCTACTCTAGTGTCATAATTGGTAAGAATTAACAATTCAGTTAATTTTATAGAGTGCGACCTTCAGAATGTCTATTTTATTCTTTTTATACTTTTTTAATAATTTTTTTTCATTTTAACTTTATTTTTTGTTTTATTACTTTTCCTAAGCGCGATAGGGTTATGCTATGCATACTTGCCTACCTGGTACAAGGTATATTGTGCACGCGCATGCCCAATACCTCCTACGAGAAACGTCCTCGAAATTACACATTTAAAAAGTAGAGAGCACATGCATCTAATGAAAAGTGTTCATAGAAAATGAAGGGGAGGAACAAGAAGATAAAAAGTGTGATAAGGAGAGTGACGTAGAGAAGAAGGGGTCACGCTGGTGTACAAGTAGCAGAACATAGATATCTACGTATAAAAATGTGGCGTAAGGTGTTTATATGCACTCGCTGGTATAGGTAGATAATTATGGTGGCAATGGAGGAAAGCACATCCATGCGGGTGAATTAGGTCACGCAAACAAAGAATCGGTTGAAACGGATTGGGAACCGGACCAACTGAATCACCCTCTGGATCGCGTCACATATGTGGCATAAGTAGCAATATATACGGTCTAGTCGTAATGCTTTTCCCATTTAGGCAGATAACGTATTTTTATTGTGTCATCAATGTAGAATTTTCATTTCACTTGCACACACGCTACATTTTAACGCATGTCCAGCACGGATATACGTTATATTCAGGAGTGAATAAATAATAGAATTTGAATTTCACATACATGAAAAATAAGCTACAGTTTACTTTAATATTTGCTAGAATGAATGGGTTGGACGCAGTGCGTATAGTTGTAAGAGCTTTATTTCTGTGCTCATGTGGGTCGCACACCCCGGCTCGCTGCTCTATCATTTCGTTTAAGCGCTGTAACAATTCGCAGTAGCGAACAAACATTACAACAAATCCCAATAAATTATAAAACGTTTTAAGGACAAACTTCTTGCCACTGGCGTTTCTCGCCAATTTAGCACAAATAAATGAGCAATAATCATTTGCTACGCTAATATTGGTTCAGCCTGTTTCAAGAAACGATATTAGGTCATTCACAGCATCCCGGACCACCGCCAAATGATGCAATACAGCTTGAATTTCCAAAACAGCTACAATAAAAAACCTATAAGAATTCTTCGAAGAAATCATTGATTACAATTCTGGTGTCACCCTGCTCACGCATTTCACGTGAAACGAGGAAGGTCTAAATTGTTTAATAGAGTTTAATGCACACCGAGAATTCTGCTGATGAATTGCGCATATCAACGAGCCAGTGTTTTGGTACAAAGAGCTATACTAAACTGATATACATGAGTTCAAGAGCTAATAATACCTATTAGTGCATCACGTGATAAATCGTTGAAATTCTATTGGATAACGCAGCAGGCACTATGAAGCAATAGTGCCGGCCTGAGCGGCACTATTGGCTTGCGCCGAACGCATTGTTATTATAACAATGCGTGTTCACGTCACGAATCTCCTGCGTCTGGGCGCCACGCAAGAGTTTCGAACGGCGGTTGTGTTTGTGTCGAACGTTTTGTTACATCGAAATGCATCGGCAAATTAGGGAGTATAAAGAAGGTATATAAGCATGAAAAGTAGATTGCATAGTCATGTGATGCACTAAAAACATTAATGCCTGTTGTTGGGGGCACTAAGAGAGCATAGTGCCCCCAACAGCAGGCATTAATATATAAAAATAATATACCTATAATAACAGGTATTATTAGCTCTTGATGAGTTAGATATAGAAATAATTAAAATGAAAGTAAATGTCAATGACACTGTAGCTCACCACAAAAAAGGACACAACTCACAACTGAGTGAATGGGAACAAGTGCACCGAGTGGGGGGGGGGCAGTGTTAGCCACCACAGTTTTTAACAGTATTTAGTGTACTATACAAAGGTATTAATTAAACTTCTAATTCATTCTTCATTGTTCTTAGCATAAAATCACTACTTTCTAGTAACATATGT